TTCTTTTATTGATTTATTTTTGTAATTTGGCGCTCTCACTACTCCGTAGATATTAAGCAGTGTGACACTATTTTAATTGTAAGTCTCTGTGGAAAAACCATATAAGAGAAGAAAAGTAGACTGAACGGTAGATGGATAAATAAAGAAAACACTGATAAAAGGCTTTAGATGAAGTCCAACCCGAAGCGTAAAGGCTGAACAAACCGACGGCGTGGCAGCCCTGCAGAGGTTAATAAATGTTATTCTCCATGGACCAGGTGTTTACCAAAGCGTCTAATACACATAAAGCTACAAGCAGCGCTTCGCAAATCTAATTTTCTACCTGATTGAGAAACCGTTCAGCAGGAACGTGGCCCTATCTCCGCAATGTTCCCTTCATTAGGAGGAAAATCAAACATATCACTTCACACAGACGCCGTGGGGATTGCGGTTCAACTTTAATGAAAAGATGAAGGAGCGAGCTCACTCTTCTTTTTTTTAGTAATAGGCCTGACAATGAGAATCCAGAGGGAGAGGTTTCAGTTATCTTTGTAGTGTCTCAGAGAGATGGACGGATCGCTGCGGGGATGGATGGAAAGTCGCTGAAGCTAAATCGTGTTTTTGATGTGATTTTTTTTCCAGGCCTTTCCAGGGAACAGCAACGCAGACAGCGTGGTGCAGCACAAGCTCCAGCACCCGGTGATCGCTCGATACGTCCGGCTCATTCCCCTCGACTGGAATCCCAACGGGCGGATCGGACTCCGGCTGGAGGCCTACGGATGTCCATACGGTCAGTTCTGGCTCGTTTTTATTCTCCACTTAAACATGACTGTAGGTCCTAAGTGCTGCTGGGTCGACTTCTTTTGGTTCTTGGAAACATTTCAACTCTTATTCAAGGTCCCAGGGATCTAATATCACACTCAAATCCCAAGTTAAGGTATGATTGGTTGCAAAGCTGCCAGGTGAGGGATGACTGATGTGTTCATGGTGGTAAAACTATGTAGGAAGGAAAAGTACCCGATAAGTGGGTGTTGTAGATCCCAACTTATTAGGTATTTATAACCCAGTCTTGAGATCCCTAGACTGCAACGCAAGTACGTGATGAGTGGGCGTTGTAGATCTGAACTTATTAGGTAGGATGGACAGATAGATGGATGAATGAATGAACAGATGGATGGATGGATGGATGGATGGATGGATGATGAATGAATGGACAGATGGATGGATGACGGATGGATGGATGGATGGATGGATGGATGGATGGATGGATGGATGGACGGACGGACGGACGGATGAATGAATGGACAGATGGATGGATGGAAATTAAGGGATGTTGCCATTAAATTGGGGTCTTGTTGAAAATCAGACGACATTCCAATTTCCCCAAATACACAAACGCAGTCTCTCAAACTTGCATTCAGTCGATAACATGGTTATCGAAAGATCACGATCGGCGTCATGAAAGTAACATGAAAGGCGTAAATATTGGTGTTAAATCCTTGTCGTGTTTTATATGCTGTGATCCTGCCTGAGTAATTTACATATCAGGAATTAACACCCTGCCAAAGTTACATAAGACATCATTGTACCTGACTGTCCTCCATATTAAACCTGAAACCCTACAGCGTCATTAATTATGGAGATCAGCCTAACTGATATAAATAATACAGCCAAGACCCTACAGCATCATTAATAATAGACATTAACCTGAATACTTAATACAAAAATATACGTAAGAACCCAACAGATCCGAGGATCTCCTGGATCCTCTGTGAGCAGAACGCCGTGTCAGAGCCGGATGGACTGACCTTATAGTTAATAAACTCACAGCCTCTGAATAGACATAAAGAGACGCTGTGGAGGAGGAAACAGATGATCAGGAATTAGCCAACAGATGGGAGAACACTTGGTTCCGTCTGGACAGGTGAGACGAGGAGAGTCTGTTTGGGTCGCACAACTCAATGCATCAAAGTGGTTAAAAACAGGAAAACAGCATAAAACATGAAATTAAAAGACCAGAGCTGTTTGAAAAGTGAACGATAAGAAAAACCAACAAACTTGAACAAAGAAACAGCATCTAAAGAGAGGAAGTGGAGGCAGGAGAGGAGCTCTGGCCGCGACACCGACAGGAAACTTCTGATGTTTGTCGTCTGTCTGAGAAACTTTAATAAAGTCAGAAGAAAGACGTCTGTGACACCAAACGCCGACACATCAAAATCCAACTCTGCAGGAAGCAAACAAACCAGACGAAGGTGGTAAGAAATTCAAAAAACCTGCAAATCAGCTTTAAAATCAAACACTTTTGGTGTCAATTGAAGCCGTTAAACTGACTTCACACTGCATAAGACTGTAAAGATGAATATTTAAAGTAGTTTTCATCTAAGCTGGCGACACTTTTTTTTATCCTAAAGATGAAGAAAAGGTGTTTCCTTCAACTTTTGATCAGTTTAAATGTTTCTGATGTTTTCCCGTCAGCTTCTCAGATTCAATAATTGATGCGTCTCTGCTGACATTTCTAATTTGATGCTTCAGCAGCGACGTCGTGGGCAGAGAGACGAGGACGATAGTGGATCGACATGAAAGCTGCTTCGCTGGCCGTTAATCTGCCTCCAAAGTTCAGGCTGCAGCTGAACGTCAGCGTCTCTGTGCAGCGTTTACGTTCTATTAATAACTAACCGCTCGCTTTCTTCTGGAAACCTTCATTCGCTTCATTGATCTGAACAGAAACGGATGGAAAGAAGATCCAAGAAGAGATCTGTAGACCTCACAGAAGATGAAGATATAAAAGCAGCACTGCATACTTCACACATACGATCTGAATAACGGCATAAACAGGAAAGATATCAAGAACAGGAGCAATATAGGATGGAAGTAGATTAAAAAAAGAATTGTAAGAAGTTTTTTCAGGACTGTGGTTCTTTGAAAGATGTTTTTATTGAATCGTGTGACAATAAAATGACGAGACGAGGTTCAGGTTGGTTAGAAATAAACAAGTAACTCTTAGAAGTAAAAGAGCTTCGAGGAACCTGTTGAGGAACCTTTTGGATTCAAAAGGCAGCAGAGTTTACCACAGGAACGGATGGATGGATGGATGGATGGATGTTGGATGGACGGACGGACGGACGGACGGATGACAATTAAGGGATGTTGCCATTAAATTGGGATCGTGTTGAAAATCAGATGAGATCCTAATTTTCCCAAATATACAAATGCAGTCTCTCAAACTTGCATTCAGTAGATAACATCTCCACTAATGTTCAGACCAGCTCCATGACACATTTAATATCCAAAATCTACTAGAACCTGAAATGAATGAATTTGATGCTTCCTACAGGTTTGGCTGTAACTATCTGCTGTTATAAGCTCACAGTTCTGAGCATACGTCTGGTCAACGTGTGTTTCTGTTGGCTTTTTCAGACTCGGACGTGGTGAGCTTCAGCGGCCACAGCAGCCTCCTCTACAGGCTGAGGCCCAGACCGACGCAGACGTCCGGCGAAAGCATCAGCCTGACATTCAAGGCGCTGAAGAACTCGGGGATCCTGCTTCACGCCGAGGGCCGGAACGAGCACAGCCTCCGTCTGGAGCTGGAGGACGGGAAGCTGCTCCTGCTGCTCAGAGAAGGTAACCATCACCGGGAGGTAAAGGGAGATAAAGTGGCTCATGTTGCTGTCAGTCCTGAGTCTCTGCTCAGCCTGACGCTGGTGTTTCGGCTAATGGATGTATTTTGGCGTCTTCTCTTTAGCTTTCACCACTTTCTGTCAAACTGACTTCCTGCTTTCTTCTTCTGTCTTCATGGTTTTGTCATTTATCTCGTCTCTTTGAACGCTCCACTTCCCCGTCGCCTTCTTCTTCTTACGTTTAGTTTAAAACGGACTTATTAGCTCCTGTTTGGTTTCTTTCGTCCCATTCCTACATTTCTTTATGCTTTCACAGCCTAAACACGTCTGATTTTACTCACATTGTTTGTGGACACATCATCTAAATATAAGTTTGTGTTGCTCTGAGCAGGAGGCTGTAACAGACTGTAGGCTACGTGCAGATCAGATGGGTTTTCAAGAGCTGCATGTCGACGTAGTTTCGGAAAATAGATTTTTTTCAGACTGTCGCCTCAGGCTGTGAAGCTGAAGCCGGACTTGATTCAATTCGTTATTCGTGACAGAAACGCTGGAACGGCGACATCGAGGTTAATTGTGCGTCGTCATCGTCTCGTCCTTCTCGTCTGGTCACGGGTTTCTCAGGCGGCTGTCAGAAGCAGCTCCCTGTGATTCGTCTCCAAATTGTGACCCGAGGCGGAATCTGTTTGGTTTTTCTCGCTGCTTGTAACTCGCTTCTCGCACGCTGATGAGTTTGAGGTCGTGTAGCTGCCGCAGTTCTGCGCTTCACCTTCAGGACACGAGGAAACATCGCAGGCCGAGTTTGGTCCCTGATGGTAGAGTACTGGTAGGTAGCAGCGAGCTAGCAGGACAATGATGGAACATTTATACAGCAGGTTTACAGCCAAAGAGCTTCCTGGTAAAAAGGCGACTGGTTGATGTTAGAAGTTAAGTCCAAGTATTGAGGTTGAGACCTCAGAGTGTCGTTTATAATGAGGACTGACCAGAGCAGTGATTAAAACCCACAAACTGCACATGAAACACAACATTAGCTGATTTTAATACATCATAAGGTTGAGACTGTACAACACTGTCAGTCATGGACAGAACCCAGCTGATTCTGATCCAAAGGTTTGACCTAATAAATAGATAGAGTTTTTTTAAGTTTTTTTTAAGCAATAAACTATGAAGATCTTCTGAACAGTTTTGGAACTATGCTGAAAGTTCTAAAGACTAGTTTGTATATTTGGGAAAATGGGATCTTGTCTGACTTTCTGCAGACAGACATGATTCAACACTGATGCAAAGACTTCTGTTTGCTAAACGTGTAAAAAAAAAAAAAAAAGAAGGATGAAACAAAACAAAAATAACGACAAAACCAACTACAGCAACAATAACAACAACAATAACATCCATAACAACATCATCATCATCAATAACAACAAACATACCAATAACAACAACAAACACAACAACAACAACATCAACATCATCAACTATAACATTAATAACATCAGCAGCAGCAACAATAAGAATTACAACAAGACTTGTGAAAACATCATCAATATCAACAACAACGACAACAATAATACAATAATAACATCAACAACAATAATAATAACTACAACAACAAATCAGAAACAACAGCAATGACAACATCAGTAACAACAACAGCGAGATCGAGATCAGAGTTCAGTGGAAACCAAAACCCCACAGAGAACGTCTTTCTGAGGAGTTCCATGAAGAACCTCTGCAGCAGAAGCTAATAACACCCATAAAGAAGCCAATCTGCAGGTTCCTCTGAGTTCTTCTATTTCCAGACCCGATCCGCCCACCAGCGGCTCCGTTGCTTCGCCGCCTTCCTCCCAGTTCATTTCCACCTTTTCTAATTGCGAGCCATTACGCACCCTTTTAGAGTTAAAAGGCTTTAACTTTGCACATCACCACGGAGGCAGTGATTGTTTAATTTGCACCTTCTACCTGCTTCAGAGTCTCGGCGGCTCGGCCCAGCGCTGTAACAGCCCATTATGGGGGTTTTACACAAAGCAGCCTTCGGCGGCACTTAGCGGGAAACACTTAGTTCCAGCCTGTTTGCTCAGAGCCTCCCGACCGGCGGAACAAACACACGGCTTCATTACAACGGTTCTCTACGAACGCAGCCGGCTGGTCGCTGCTGTACGTTCAGCACAGTGTTGGATTCATGTTCTGAGGCTCGCCGCTTCGTAATTAAGCTTTTTTTTTCTGGCACTGGAACATTTTGATCCTGTGTTGTCTGGTTTTTATTCCTGTAAGACAGAATAAAGCAGCCAGATGTAAATGAGAACGTCTCACACGTGGAGTCGTCGTGATGCTGAAGCTGCTTTCGGTTCGTTTGCTGGGTTTCTTCTACGTCTGCACGAGAGTCAGAAACACATGACGAGGATCCTGAAGCAGCAACAAGCATGTTTGGTTGTTTTTGCAACAGACAACTTTTGCACGTGATTATCAGCATTTTTAATGAATGCTGCAGGTGGAGAAGATCAGCGATGATGGATGAAGTGTCTGAAAACAAACTTTACATTTCACTTAATTGCTTCTACAACCAGAGGTGTTTTTATTTACCATCTAAAACTGCATTCAAGCTGTTGTGAATGTTTAGTTCTGAGCTGTTTAAAATTCTGATCTCAAGGAAGAAAGAATGAAGTTATCCTTTTTTTAAGCCTGAATTTAGCCGTTAAGTCAACTGAAGCAGAAACTTGAGTTTAAGTTGATGCAACACCATCACATCAATCCAGCCCATTGAAATCATGTTTTCTGTTTTAAAAGATGATCTAAATCAGCACTTCAGATCTTTAACTTTTATGCATTTAATTATACAGTAGGTTCTTTAAAGTTTTAATCTGAAACGACAACATTCAGGCGTCAGTCAGATGTCCAAACGGGTCAAACTCAAGCCAAACACTGTGTAAAGGGTGAAACATTTCTGGTTATTTCTGAGTTCTCGTGGCTACAAATGAACTAGATGTGAAGCAGCCGGTGACTCATTCTGTCGTGTTCCAGCGTCGACTTTGTTGCTCTGAGTGACGATTGGGTCTCGCGGGCCTGTAAATAAGCAGCTCATCTGCGAAGCCGCATGTTCGTGTCCTGAGGAGTGAACTGTGCTTCGCTTCACGGCCGACGGCTCGATCCGGAGAGGCGACGTTTGACTCACGATGACGAGCCGCCTGGCGGGCCCCAACGGACGGAAAGTCTCAGTGGAGTTATTAAGGCAGCGATTGGATTCATTGGTTCTGGTGGATGTTTGCAGCTTTAACTAAAGAAGTAAAGAAAAGAAAGAGTTTAATGAAGCTCAAAACGATGCTCAGAAGTAATAAATGAACCCCCAGCGGACTGCAGCTCTGAGTTTTTGTCTTCAGAACAAACTGCAGGAACCCGTCCTCCCGGAGCTCCTGTTGTCTTGTTGACGGACCGCGTGCTCAATCCTTTACTGTAAGCCGAGTGGAATAAAATGAAAATGCTGAAACAATTACAGCCGACTGATAAGACCTGCCAGCGTCTGCCCACAAAATTAGATTTGGAGCGGCGGCGGAGGGCCGTAATTCAGAGGCAGACGGCGGATTATTGCCTCTGGAAGCTGTCTGCAGTGATCTAATGCGAGCACCTGCACTGTAAAACGCAAAAAAAGAAAAAAAAAAGAGCTTCTAAAATCAGAAGAGTTCCTTTAAAAATCCTCAGAAGAAGTCTGCAGGAATCCCGACGGCTCAAAGGAAGCTGCAGGAAGTTTGAAGGGCAGCTGAAGAGCACAGATTATCTGTGGAAGCATCTCGACGCAGCAGAAAGCTAATTAGAATTCAGACAACAAACAGACTTTATTTGCTGATCTTCAGATTACAAATGAATAATCTGCAGCGTGTTTGAACCTCGCTGTGACGACCTCCGCCTCCTCCGAGGAGCCCCGCCGAGTCTCCTGGTAAACACAAGTCATGTTCAGAGTTACTCAGCTGAGTGCGTTTCTTCTCTCATCAAACTTCTGTAAAGCTGATTTTGTTTTAAACCTGTTTGTTTACACTCGTGTTTACCTGCCAGCTGTTTTACAATTGGTGCTCGAGACAAAAAATGGACTCAGTCGTGTAGTTTTTGTCTCAGATATGAAGTTTCTGCACAAACGACGCGACAGAGATGAAGCCAGACTCGAGGATCAGAGCTGCTGCTGAAAGATTCATGGCCGCGAGCAGCTTTCTTCATTCTGATTGGACGGTTTGTTAGCAGCATGTGACCACTTCATGTCTCTCTGAACTCCAGATCTATCCCTGACAGGGCTGCAGAGTGAGGACGGGGTTGATGGAGGGGTCAGATCGCTGAGTAATCCCAGGGCGGCTAAACGCCTCGTCATGCTTTCTGTCGGTGTGTTTTCTCGCTGCGTGCTCGGTCGGTGTGTTTGCAGCGTGTGGAGGCGACACGTTGACGTCTGGAGACAGAATCAAACGCTGGAGACTGTGAGCAGCTTCACACTTTGATAATTTATCATCGCTGCAGAAGGCGGGTTTTTATTTTGCATGACTCGGCAAAAACAAATCCACGAGTCATCTTTCAGCATGTTGTGATTCAGAACTTCTTCACCTCCGTTGTCTCAGGTTGATCTGCACATTAGTAACTCCGCAGGATCTCGACTTTAACGTGTTGTAGTCGAGTGAAACAGGGTTTTATATCGTTGTTGTCGGGTTTAGGAGGTTTTTAGTCCCTAATCCGTCCATCATTCAGGTAAAATCACACAATATTCCACTTCCTAGCAACACCAGTCCTGCTCTGTTTTTACTGGAAGACGCTTTGATGTGCTGCATATATGAAATAAGACATTTTATCTGACTTATATTGCATTTTTGGGATCTTATTCTTCATTTTTTGGGCTTTGTTTTCACTGTTCGTCTAACTTTGTTTTATTGTAAAGCTCTGTGTAGCTCTGTGCTATACACATGAAGTTATTAATATTATTTACACGTCTGTGTTTCCAGAGCAGCTGAGAGATGATATAAGTCTGCAGTTAGAGTTGGACGCGGTGGTCGGATGGATTAAGTGAAGAGCTTTAACTTTCAGATCTCTGAGGAAACCAACAGTTAATGCTGACGTTTAGCCTGAACGTCTTCTAAAGGACGAGGGATTGTTTTATTCTCTCCTCCTGCAGCACTAACAGAGCCGTGACAGACCGGGGAGGAGCTTTTATTTGTTCATGCTTCCCCCTGAATGCAGAGGGAAGGTTTAGATCCTCCAGAGATCCTGTCCAACATCTGCCCGCTGAGCTGCTGCTGATGAAGAAGTAAAAGCTCTGTGGCAGCAGGTTGGAACGCCTCCATCGGTCCGACCTGTCAGCAGCTTCCTGTGAACGTGTGAAGTCACAGTCAGGCTTTCAGAAACGTCCACGGGAGCCGCGAGTGTTTCTCTGTGATGGACGGTGGTGCTGCTTGTGCATCTATTGTCGTATGAATGGAGCCATCCGCCGTCCACGTTCAGTCGGCTCACACAGATAGAAAATAAACCATGAACTGGCCTCAAAACAGAGTCGACATGCGGCTGAACCGTGGGAGGAAAGCGGAGCATCGACAGCAGACCTGGACGGACACAAACGGATCAAACTCCACACAGAGAGTCAGCGGACAGGTTCAGACACAAACTCAGAGCTGTGAGGGTCAAAATTAAATTAAATAAGTGAAGAAAAAACATGGAGAAAATCTGGCAGCAGGTGTGCCAGAAAAAATCTGTCGTAAAAAATTGTAAATAAGAGAATAAAAAACATGTAAATTCATATTTTTTCCCAGAGATTTTAATATGTTATCCGTTATTTGACAAAACAAAGAAAATCTGTACAGTTTAAAAACTATTAAATTAATTAATTATTCCTTAACACACATTTTTTTCTTTTAAACTGAAAATGTTCTAAGTGATATAATATAATATAATATAATATAATATAATATAATATAATATAATATAATATAATATAATATTTTTACCTGATTTAAATACAATAAAAAAAAAGAATTTTTAAAAATTAAAAATACAGATTTTTGATCTTTCCTACTTTAAGTTTTGTTTTGTTTGTTTGTTTGTGTTTTAACAGTTGACATGTAAATGAATCATTTGTGTCTGTACATTTGCTCGTTATAATCTGTAATTAAACAAAACTGGGAGAATCTGTAAAGAATACAGTAATTTGTTTTAAAAGATTAAAATAAAAACTGTTGAAAAATCATTTTGTTCTGTGAAATGAGGCTTTAATAGGATATCTGCTGTATGGGGTCATGACCCAGTCCTCTGGTTCCTCTGTGGTCGATCACTTCACTTCAACAACAATTAAATTATCACTACAATTAATTCTATTCTTATAATACCAACTGGCAGCAACAATCACAGGCCTGAAGGTTGAAGGAAACAGAAAGTTGCAGCCGTTAAAACTCTGATTTATGTGTTGATGATGAGACCAGTTGCCTCTTTTCCTGCTCACTTCTTTATCATCGTCTCTTCTGAGCTAAATACTGATAAAGTTAACGACATCAGACAACATGTTAATATTTAAGCACTGATTTCTGGCGACCAAATCCCTTTGTGCTGTAAATAAACATTCCTGAGCAGCAACATCATCACAGGAAGGATTCTGATTCCATAACGACACTCAGACATGGTTCTGCTGATGGATGATGATCAGCTTCACTCTTTCTAGTCTCTTTTCTAGTCGGTGCTGACTGATGACCCGATACGTCTGCTTCCTTTTCCCACGCAGACGAAGCAGTTCCTAATGTCTGATTCATGTTTAGTGGCTTTGCTCTGCAAAAGCTCTCAGCTGCGTCGACACTTTGGGGGATTCCTCGGTCATTTATTGATGCCCGTCTGCTCCGTTTCCCTTCACGGTTAACTATTGCTGTGCTGTCACTGGTTTGGGTTCTTAGAAGGAAACAGGAAGCGTTTTGCAGACTTTATTCTGAGATGAAAGTCAGATTGATCTATAAAAGCAGAGTTTGAACAGTGAAGTGAGACTGAACATTCTGCCTCCTCCACTACTGTATTCAGTTTTATTGAACAAACAGCTTCCCTCTCCTCGTCCCCTCCACCCTTCGTCCTCTAAACCTCCATCTTCCTCTAAGTCTTCCTCCCACTCTGTCCAGGCAGCAGCTCGTCTCCAGACAGCCTCCACCTGGTGTCGGTGGGCAGCCTGCTGGACGACCAGCACTGGCACCACGTCGCTGTGGAGCATCACGGCGACCACCTCAACCTCACCGTGGACAAAAGCACGCTGTGGGTTCAGATCCCGGCGCGGTTCAGCCACTGGGACCACGACCAGGTGGGATGAGCTCACATTTAAAACCACCACCCGCCTGCACTGGTTCTGGTCTTGATGTGCTTTTTTTTCCTTTCTGCCTGAACAGATGAGCGTGGGAGCGGAGCAGGGCCTCGGCTCTCTGAGGGCAGACAGAAACTTCCGCGGCTGTTTGGAAAACCTCGTCTACAACGGCCTGAACCTGGTGGACCTCGCCAAGCAGGCGGACCAGCGGGTCACCGTGAAGGTAGACTGGCTCACAGTGAGCTGCTGAAAGGCTCAGAAACACTCCGGTACCAGTGAAGGTCCAGCGTTTGGAGTTTAGGAGAAGAAATGTTGAAATATTAGGGATGTCCTGAACTTAACTTTAGATCAATGTTGGAGCCAATTAATGACATTTATCCACAGATTTTTATTGGTAGGAACCTAAATTCGATCTTTTGTCATGCATGTGGTGTAAATTTAAACGATTTAGTTTGAATACACAACGATTTAAATCAATAACTGAGAACCTGATGTCATAAATTTAACATTTATTGCTCATGTTGCTGATAAAGGCTGAATGTGTTTGTGGTTGGAGGTCACTAAAGACCCAGAAGACTTTGTTTTCCGGAATAATAAATAAAAACTCCACCTTTAAAATCATTTTTTTTGTGTTACAAGACAAATAAATAAAGTGCAGCAAATCCAGGGATTATAAGAAATTAAAAGTAACTGAAATGTTGACAGTGTGCAGGAATATTCAAATTATTCACCTTTTATTTACTCAGTGTTTGATGTGCAACAGATGAAAATAATATTTTATTAACTGAGTTATTGGAACATATAGTGTCCATGAAAGTTAGCTAGGGAAAGAGCTGTTCCTGAAATTAAAAAAAAAAAAAAAGATGAAATAAAAATTAAATGGAAAAAAGAAAAGCTAAAATAAAATAAATTAAATAAGGAAAGATAAAATTTAAATAAATTAAATTAAAATGAAATAAAAGTAAATTACAATAACATAAAAGTTAATTTAAATTGCATTTCGAGAAATAAAATATTAATCAAAAATAAAATAAAAGATTAATCAGTCAAATAAAAACTGTAGAACAAAGAAAATAGAAGTAATATTATGAAATCTTACTCAAATTAAATTGACTATATAAAGAGTATTAATGAAAAACTAATAAAACAAAAACAGTATGAAATATTTAATAATTATGATCATTATAAATACTTTAATGAAACATGACAAATAATGATTTAAACATAAAAAATATAAATAATAATAACAATAATAAAACACCACATAAAAGCCAAAAAAAGAGAGACAAAATAGTTTTTTATTTTACATTTAAACATCAATGTTCTCGGCTCTTGTCATGTCGTCTAAAAGGCTGTTCCAGCTTCACCACATGTTTTTATCTTGAGGTTCTGTTTCACTGGCGGTCCATGTGGTTCTTTTTCAGACTTAGATCGAGTGACATCGTGCGTTCTCTCCTTCTGCTCCTGCAGCTGATTTACTGTCCTCCTCATTGGAGCAGAAAGAACAGAATTACACCATCTGACATGTTGGCGGTGATGATCCAGCCTCTTCATTTAACTCGGCGCCGGATGCGATAACTGTCTGCGGTAACGAATCGAGCGGCGCCGTGGAAGCAGCGTGCGGTGATTTAAGGTGGAAGCAGCTGCGTGAGCACACAGCGTGTCTCCATCATCCACAGCGTGGAGGTTCTACGGCAGCAGCTCGGTTCTCAGAAGCTGCTCCAGGACCAGGACTCCATCTCTGAGCGAGAACATCAGCTTTATGGGCCGAGCTGTACGTTTTTATTATTGACTTTCACAGCTTCCAGTGGGTCGGACTCTGCTGGGGTTTCCTCTTCGATCTGAAAACAGGAGGGAGGAGGGTTTCCAGTTTGGGGACCTCTGACATGGTTCTGTTGGCTTCATCAGAACCTTCAGCGCTGAGTGTGAAGAGGTTTGGATCAACATCTGAGGCCCTTTATCTTTGTGTTATGAGGGTGTCTGAGCCCCAAATGAAGGATGTCAGGACCTAAAGGAGATGGACATGAGGGTCGGTGCAGCTTCAGCAGTAATGTAGGCGGTGTCCTGGACCACCGGGTGAAGATAAGGCAGAAGGCGAAGCTCTCGATGAACCAGTTGGTCTGAGTTTCAACCCTCAGCTGTGGTCATGACAGAGAACGACGTCCCAGATAGAAGAACTGAGCTTCCTCACTAGGGTCAGCCTCCAAGGTAGGACCAGGAGTTGGGAGTGGAGTCACTGCTCCTTCATGATGAAAGGACCCAGCTGAGGTGGAGGTCAGGGGGCTTCTGGGGTTCTTTCTTTGGAGGAAACATCCAACAAAGAGGAGATCCTTGACTGGACTCAGAACTAACTGGAGGGATTATACGAGATGTGTCAGAGAAGTCTCTCCATTGTCTTCATTTATCAAGAGTTTGGATGCAACAGACTGATTCTAGATGGTGTCCAGTTCCTCCTGGTGGATCCTGAAGCGTTCCCAGACCAGATGAGATCAACGAGGTGTGTCAATAAAGGTCCAGGACTGGTGTCACAGAAGATATATCTAAAACCCAAACTACGAACTACCAGTTTTCCCCTTCAGATGATCAACCAGCACAAAGAGATCCTGTTTGCTTCGTTCAGAGTTGTGGCTGCTTCACAGCACCCTGAGCATCCCACAGCTCCAGGCTGAGAAGAACATCTCAGTGCTGGAGCAACCTCCCTACTCACCCCACCTGGCTCCGTGGGGTTGTTTCCTCTTCCCCAAGCTCAAGGGGGTCATCAAGGAGACCCGTTTAGAAGACGTGGACAACATCAAGATGGCTGTGACGATGGAGCTGAGAGGATCCTGGAAGAATCCTTCCAGGACTGCGTGGGGAAGTGTGTTAGACTCCAGGGGGATTACTGTGAAGGGGAAAACTGGTAGTTTGGATTTGAAATCTATCTTCTGTGACACCAGTCCTGGAAGGCCTGGGAACGCTTCGGGATCCACCAGGAGGAACTGGAAACTGTCTGGAATCAGTCTGTTGCATCCAAACTCTGGATAAATGGAAGACCATGGAGAGATGCATCCTGGGTAATGCAGCTGAGCTCATGTGGTAAACGGACTCGAATCAAACTCTGAGGAGTTATTAGTAACTGACACACAGCTGACCTCTCATGTGTCATGATTTTAAACAATAACGGATCGTCTCCCTTTTTTTTCAGGACACCTTAGAGTTTATTTTTGCACCACATCTACTAAATTTAAACTTCGGCTGTGATTTGTTGTTTAATGAGCGTCTGTGTTTTGTTTTATTGGAAAACTGTTGTTGAGCCAAAGAGCATCATATTCTATATAAATGATAATATGAGTGAATACATTATTAAATCTTAGCGTGTTTCACAAAGTTTAAGCTAAAGTGCCCTTATTAATATGCAGTGGATGAGAAACAGCGCTTCACTTCTACTGTAAATGCTCAAAAGGAGAAGTGTGTGTGTGTGTGTGTGTGTGTGTGTGTGTGTGTGTGTGCATATAAGTGTGTGTTTGTTGGATTGCGTCCGGCTGATGTACGACACTGTCGACGGTCTCCTCTTCAGTCTGCATTACTCCTTGTTGCTCTAACTGCCCCACAAAGAGCTTTTAGATTTGATCAAGTGTCTGTGTGCTGCACGCTCGGCTGAAAATAGAAACCCAGAATTCCCACCGGGGCCCGGGGATGTGACTTATCACTGCTGCCGGCCCGGCGCTAGATTTACCGCCATTACCGCTTCTCCAGACTATAAGCCTGCAGAAATGAGCCACTGCTCAGTCACTTAATCGCGGTCTTCTCTCAACACTCCCTCGCACTTCCTCTGTGACCTCAGAAAGCTTCGGGCTGACATTGGTGCCTCGGGTTTGATCTGCCGGTGCTTACGCTAAGCCCGGCTATTATCATTATGGTAATGCTGTCGTGCTTTTTAAGGAGCCTGGCTGATGAGATTCCTGTGCATCAGGGCGCCTCCACGCAGCCTCGGAGATTAATTCATATTCATGCGTTATCGTGTTTTCCCTCTTTAGCTGTAATCATCTCTCTCCCCGTATCTCTTCCCTCCTCATCCGTCTCAGGGCAACGTGACCTTTTCGTGCGCCGAACCCGTTTTTGTTGCCGTGACGTTCGCCGGCCCCCAGAGCTTCCTGTGGCTGCCCGGAGGGACCGATCCGTCACCGGCGGGCCTGGCGCTGGGCCTTCAGTTTCGGACGTGGAACAAGGCGGGGCTGCTGCTCACCTTCGACCTGCCGAAGCGAAGCGGTGCGGTGTGGATGTACCTGAGCAAAGCCAGGCTCCATCTGCAGGTCCACAAACCCGGCAGGGCGCCGCTGGAGCTCAGCACAGGTCAGTCCGACCCACAGCCTTTAATTAAAGCCCTCCTCATCCCAGGTGTCTTTAAAAAGTATTTACCTTCTTTGGAAGCTTTGCTGTTGAATCCTGGTCAGTTTAATTTGGTCTATTTGACAAGAACTTAGACAGAAACCGA